GCCCTGAACTGGTAATGAAAGTCTTCAGAGTAAGTCTTAATGTCAGAAGCATAGAATCTGAAATCTGAAAGTTGCTACAGATGCTATGATGATCAAGCTTTGAGTTTAAAAATGAGGAAACCAAGGTTTCATAGCTAATAAATGGTGGAACTAGGGCTGAACTTGAGATCTTATAATTCCTATATAAAGTTCATTCTATCAGAGAAAGTCCATTTTTATTGCCAGTTGACATTCCAGAAAACTTAGGCTTTTTTTTATACATAAAAACATAAAATAATTTTGTTTATAAGATTAATTTTTAATACATGGAAACATTTGTGCCACTGTGCTAGGCACAAAAATATAAAGGTGACTAAGACACTGTCCTCAACCTAAAGAAGCTCTGGGTCCTCCTTGACCTGCCAGTGGAATACTGATCTGGGATGTGGCCACATGCCATCTGCATTTGAAGCAGAGGATGGACAGATGAGGTGGGTCATCATTAAACAATGGCAGGGAGACCAAGGGATGCGCCCTGGTTCTGCCTCAGTAGACCGGAGTTGAATCTTAGCTCCCCTAGTTATGTGACCTTGAGCAAGTCTCTTAATTTCTCTTAATCACACTTTTATCATTCGTAGAATGAGGGTTGTAGTTTGCCACGTCAGTGTGCTTTTCAGGGCTAAATGACATAAAATATATAATGTACCTTGAACAATGCCTAGCACTTGATAAATATTAGTTACCTTCCCCACTGTTGAAAAGTGGGAGTGGACGTCACACCTGCCCTCTCTACCTCAAAGACTTGGTATAAGACGGAATAAAACAATGTATTCTGAAATAACTTTTAAAATAGTATTATTATATTTCTTTTACTATAACATTATCACAAGTACCATCTTACTCCTTATTTCTTTCCAGCTCGAGCATTCCAACTACTTAAAGAAAACCCATTTGTATGACCCTAACCACCTTCCAAAAGATACAACGCCCAGAGTAACTAAGAGGTAGGATGTAATTACCATGTGGAGATTATATATATACACACATATATATATATGTGTGTATATAGATATATACACACACTTATACGTATGTATGTATGTATGTATGTATAAAATCTGGGAGGAGGCAAGAGAACTAAAATGCTAAATCAAACTACATTCAGAGACTACAATGTGCTAATCAGCCCTACTGACAGACTATGAGGAAAACTGCAGAACTAAGAAAGATTTCTGCAGGGATTGCTAAAAACCTATTCCCCAACACCTGTAAAGAGAAAACAGGAAAAATGTAGTCTTAAAGTGGCACCCTACACAAAATAAAATTATTCATTCCCTATGGCTAAAACCAGGGGAACCTATGGATCACAGGCTGGGAATTGCGTACTGAAATATTTGGCATTTCGGGCTTGTACATGTTATCACTCTGATCTCTGCCTTCATTTTTATACAGCATTCTCCCTGCGTGCAAGTCTATCTGTGTTCAAATTATTCTTTTTTATAAGGACAGGGTCATATTGAACAGGGGACTCTCCCACATGACTTCTCTTAACTGGATTTATTTCTAAATAAGGTCCCATTCACAGGTACTGAAGATTAGGACGTCAGTGTATTTTGAGAGGCCACAATTCAAGCCACAATGGCTAACAGGTTCGTCCCATGAAGCAAAGCAAAGCATTGCTTCTCTGGGTTCCAACACAGCAGCAGTAGCCTCTTGTACTACGCTAACTCTTCGTGTGGCAGACTCAATTTGCCCACTCCCTGCCCGCTGCTTATGTGCGCTGTGCTTAGTGCTCAGAGTAAGAACAACAAATGAAAACAAAACAAAAGGAATAGGTGGATCCTTCTTCAGGAGTTTGCCATCTGGTGCAGGAGCTCCATGTAGATAAATAACAATATTAGAATAAAGATATATAGTGATGAGTTTCAACAGGAACTAGAGGTAACTTTCCATAGGATTGCAAGGGAGCAAGAGATGTAACGTATCTAAAAAGGCTTCCTTGATGAGGTGGAAGTTGAACTAGTCCTTGAAGGATGGTTAAGAATTTGCCATATGAAGATAAAGGGAAAGGGGGCATGTGAAAACAGACATAAAGTTACCTGTCACTGTGCCTTAAGTGGCATAAAAATATCCTCAATACCCTGTGTACTCAGACTATCAGTTGAGCTTTGGTTCTTGCTTCCATTTCTTCCTCCGCCACATGCCGTCACCACTTTACGCATAGATTAGGAAAAGTGAGTGTCTTCACTGCTTTCACAATGTTTGGTGAGCTAGATGTCAAACTGAGTATAGTTAACCCAGTAACCACAGAAGAGCCTCCTTGGGTCAAGTAAATGAGCAATTCAGTTTCAAACTCTTATCAGTTCAGTCAAAACTCTCCTGCTGGCTAGTAAGGTAAATAAATACACAGAGTCTTAAATTCTAACTTTATTATCGTGACTTTTTCCTCTTGTAATTTTGAATCCTACCTACAGTCAAATCTGAGGAATCCTTAAGTACGAACCAAATATTACATCCCACAAGACAGTTGTATTTTTAGAATAGCAATATTCTCAGAGCTTAACAATAACTAATCAAAATAAACAGGACTTCTGAGGAACAGACACACATAAACTATTTAGATCAACAGAAAGACACACCCAGAATCAGAGAAAACCATAAACCTACCCTGGATGAACTCTATCTTTAAAGTATGGTTGAGATTTTACTGAGTGACCTGTGAGAATACTCTGCATTTTCTGGACTTTTCTGGAGGCAGAGATGGAGTAAAAAATGACTACAGTGAAGCCGTGAAGGTCTCCTCTAACGCTTTGGCTGGGCACGAGACATCACTGGCTTGTGGGTCTGACATGCTCTGTGAAGACAAGGAAATGAGGTTCATATTAAAGCACACTGACTCCTCTGCACGTATAATGGGAACCTACAGATTCCTATGAAATACTCCTCATCTCACAGCAATGGTGGCATGTATGTACAAGAAGAGGTACATACATATCGGGCTGGCTCTACAGAGAACTAGAAGGATTCCATTGATGCCTCCTTCTAGGGTGAAAGACAGAAGTAGCATGTGAGGCAAAATTCATTCAAAGGCAGTATAGACTGAAAAACAACATTCAAGATGGTCACCAAACTAAATATAGACATACATACATAAAAATCACCCAACATTGGTCAATTCAGATAAAGAATGTTACCAGAATATAAAATCATTATCAGCTTCACATAAGCATCCTCATCTGGCTGTGTCTTCACCCCACAGCTATTACCGAAGTGGTTTTTGGAACTGAAGTCAGCACGCCCTCTTGCTTCTGGCCCATCGGAGGTACTCGGTGAATGGAGACATGGGCTAACAGAAAGAGTCAATAGATAAACAAGAGATGACAGCACTAGCCAGAGCGGACAAGGCCCCTGACAGTTCACCGTAAAAGGTTATGATGGACAATTCTGTCCACATAGAATGACATAAAGCTCTGAGAAAAAGGCTGGGTTTGTTTTCACACTGGGACAGCAATGTATCACTTTCACATTCACAATTTTAACTATTTTGCTGTCATGTCTGTGACAGTGACCAAGGCAGCAGCACAATGCCAGGGGCCTCAGACACGATGTCTGGCTGGCATCACGCAGCAGCAGGGGTCTCCCTTACATGAGTAGTGGTGTTTTCTCTTTGACAGCAGATCCTAAGAGCATCTATCTGCACACTTATCACCTGGACCCACGAGTTTGGACACACACATACTTCAATACCTTCCTGGACACCCACGGTGACACCGCTGTACTACACAGCGCCTGAGAGTCGTCAAACCAATTTGACCATGAACACTTTTTCCATATAATAGCTATTAGTATTTGACACACATTTAGATAAATTTGTGCATAAACAATATTTTGTGAAAATTACTAACATTTTTCCATAGTCCGAAAGAGTTTTTATGATTTTCCTTTTTTACTTATTCATTCCCTGGTATCTATAACCATTTGTGCTAAAGTCACCCCTCTGGCTGAACAGAGGTTTGATTTTTTTCAATCTTACCACTTTACCCACACACGCACATGTACAACCTTGGAGATGGAGGTACCCACGGTGAGAGGAGAAATGAGCCTGAGCCCTAGGTGTGAGTGGTAGAGAAGAGATGGAGGGAGAAGGGATGGAAGGGGGACAGCGCTGTCTCTAAGAAGGGGGAGAACCTCTGCTGAGGTCAGATCCCAGGCCCTAAGAAGCAGGTGAGCCTGGCCACAGCTTTGGGACCAGAACCTAGTCCACTGGGCCAGCCCTCCTCCCAGACTCCCGGAACTCACATTCTCACAGTACGTAACCACTTCAGGTGGCCTTTGCTTTCTAGAAGTTGAGGAGGGGGAGAGCGTAAGAGAAGACAAAGCACCGCAGCTGAGCATTCATTGATCCACACCGCATATACACCCACGGCCCAGCCCACCTGAGCAGGACGCCGGTCCAGCTTCTGAGACTGGGGTAGATGGCCTTTGTTCACTCTTGGATGTGATTAGTAGGGCAGCATCTTCCAGAATGAATTAAGTCATACAGACAGCTTTCAAGACCAATGTCTGCAGGAGGCACCCCTCCACTTCCAGAGCAACAGGGCAGGTTTGCCCCGGGGCGGGAAGAAGGGGGATGTCTCTTTCTGCAGCCCCTCCTGACCCAGCACCTCCCTCAGGCTCCAGCTCCTGCTTCCACAGTGCACTGACTTCCTTCCCCCAAAGTCACCTCTCTTCACGACGTCCTGGGTAGCACATGACCTCTTACCCCTCTGCCTTCATCCAAACTGCCACAGTCTTAACGCATTTCACTTTAGTGACACTCCGGCCAAAAATGCATAGCCTGAATCTAATTATGAAGAAATATCACATAAACCTCAATTTAGAGAATTCTACAGTCACTGGTGTGTACTTAAAAAAAAGTCAGCACTGTGAAGCTCAAAGAAGACTGGGTAACTTCTAAATTAAAGGGAGACCAAGGACACGGAAAAACAAAATGCAAAGCATGACCCGGGACTTTTTTTGTTATAAAGTGTATATTTGGGACAATTGCCAACATTTGAATATGTTCTGTAGGTTAATTAATAGTGTTGTATTAATGTTAGTTTCCAGATAAGAGAAAGTTTCTGTTTTTAGAAAATATACACCGAAGTATTTAGGGGTAAAGGGACATCATACCTGGAACTTACTCTCAGACAAGGTTATAGATAGAACACAAATGTGGTCAAATGTTAACAGTGGGAGAAGCTGGCTGAGGGGGATACCTGGTGATTTTTTCTGCTATTTTTGGAACTTTTCTCTAAACCTGAAATTACATTAATATAAAAAGCTAAATACATGAGGTCCTAAATACCACAAAAGCAGCTAGAAAATAAATTTGGTACCTCAAGAATTAGAACTGGGACAGGGCAGGTACTCGGGTCCTGAGACCAGCTCGGTTTGAGGGGCTGGGCGTCCTCACTGAAAAGTAGGAAAGCAGAAAGTAGGCAAGGAGGGAAATATGGCACCGGGGCCTCCTCCCTCGGGGAGGAAACAGAAACGAAGTCATAAGCAATTATTCCTCTGACCTTCTGGACACTCCCTAGTAGACCTCAGAATCCCCCAATGTGACTATGATTTATTTATTTTTTATGAATAGTTTAACATTTTGGTCTAACTACCATGTGGCACAATCTTGTATATCACTGAGTGACAAATTAACTTTGTTGTAATTTGATAAGATTTCAATTCTAATTATGTTATTGATGTTATTACCATTATTTGGCTCAGCTTTAACCATTTCTTGTTCAGGTGGCTTGGCTGTTCCTTTATAATGTAGAAGAATTGGGAAGAACGTGGCCTGCATGTACTCCTGTTTGCTTTCAGGCTCACTGAGCTGTTTCTGTGGTATGTCAGGCTGAGAAGCCCCAACTTTGTAGAAGGCATCACAAACTCAGGGTACAACCTCAGGCTTTGCTGTCAGTCAGACGGACAGGAAGGGGTTCAAATCCAGCGGGAACCATTTCGGCGAGGTGAATTTGGGCAAGTCACCTATCCCTCCAGAGACCCCTTCCATATCTATAGAATATAGAAAATAAAAGCTGGTTGGTGTGAGGATTGACTGGAGGCTTTAACTAACATGACCTGCCCAGTTCCTGAGCGGTAGTTGTGACAGAAAGCCTCAGAAACCACTCTCTTCTCAATGAACTCTGCATGAACCAACTCTCTCGTTTTTCTCCGTGAAATGCTACATCCCTCCAGTAAAGAGAACCTTTACTTTCTACAACACTTACTTTTCCAAAAGCCAGTGGTTTTTATGTCAGTTTGTGCCTGCTACTACAAATAGGCAATTTAATTAAATAAAAACTTTAAAAATATGAGTGAAAACATTGCTTCTATGTAAAACATGTTGAATATTTGAAAAGTCACAGGTAAATGGTAAAAGCAAATAATTCTGGTGAATTAGGTGTGGGCGAAGCAGCTAGAAGATAAGAGATTGTGGGTGACACGGCTTTGGGGCCTTCTTCTGCTTCCACAAAGGTGTAACCGGAAATCAGATATGAAGTTTCATGAGTGTCATTTAGGTAAGAAAGATGACACAGAACACCAAGCAGGGGACTCGTGCTATGAAGAAACACCATGGCGTTACATCAGATACTGACAGTGATTGAATATACTTTAGGTTGAAGTTCAAGTAAAATGTTTGAGATACATTTACATCATTTTTATGATTCCTGATTTTAAACAACTTTTTGATTCATCAGTCCCAAATGTGTCAGATGAGAGGCCTTCTAGTGTGTTTTACTGAAACACCGGTGATGGGCAGAAACCCATTTGCTTGGCACACAAACCCCACATCCCCCCAGGATGTTTGGCTGGGGCTTTTACAGCGGCTCCCAATCTTGGCTGCTCATTGGAACCACCAGAGAGCTTTAAAGCTTCTGATGACTCGGCCCCCTTTCTCCACCCCCCTCAACTTTAATTACATTATCTGGGTAGGGCCTGGGCAGGTGAGTGCCACTGCTCTGTATTACTTGCTACTTGGGCCTCAGAAATCAGATCTGCAGCCAAGTTTGTAAGAGTCAGATGGAGAGTCTCAGCCTCCACTGTATCCCTTTAGGCAAGACCAACCAAGAGGCTTGTGAAGACAATACCTAAGGGTTCCTGAGTGGGGCTGAGGAGTCTGAACCCCTAGAAGGCAGCTCCCAGACAAATGGAAGGGGCACCAAGGATAGTCCATACCATGGTAGTAGGAAGGGCTGCAGGTCAGATGGCGAGGTGGGTAGGCCAAGGTGAGAGCGTGTGCGGAGAGGGACCAAATTCGGCTGCAAGTTCATGGTCAGGCATGTGATGATGAAGGTCTGTACTGAAACACAATTTCCTTGAGGTCAGAGATTTCATTTTCCTCCCAATGGGTGATAGACAGTATGTTCTTATGCACAGTTGATTCTCATTATTTGCAGTAGTTACGGCCTAATAAGTCACCACAATGAATTAGCTGATACTGAACCTCTGTTCCTAGGACGAATACAGGGTTAGGTTGCTGTGAGCCTCTGGCTACCATATTTTCATCAATTGCTTTATAGATAACCTTGTTTTATGTGTACCTCTGCTTAAAGACACCTTATTTAATAGATATTGTTGACTCAGCAAGACTGAACTCACAGCCAACAGCACCATAATGCATGCCTGCACGAAGCTCTCTAACACATATTTCCTCCGTAAGACACCTCGCAGCCTTCTTGTGCTTAGCATGACACTCAGGGGTAGAAAACACTGAAATCACCAACAAAATGCACAAAAATGCAAAAATCATGGCATTACGCAGATCACAAAAAGGACACACGCTTATTATAGTACAAGAACTAAAACAAGAAGGTAGAGCATTGCCTTGTTTGCCTTAGCTGGGAATGTGAGCGTAGAGAAACTCGAATTTTCACCACTGTGCTCATGTCCATGAATGACTGTGAGGTGCTGTGAGTACTGATTTGGGGGTTACAAATATATTTTAGTGAGTAGGTCGATTTGCAAATGTGAAATCTGAAAAAAATGAGGATGGACTGTATATAGTTGATGCCATTTCCATTCTTTCCTCCTGTCCTCCTCACTCACGTCTCTCACCTGCAAAGCCTGCTTACCCTGTCAAGGGCTCTTTGCTGATTGGCAGCCTGCCTCTGATCACTCCGTTCTGTACTCAGTTCTCAACAGAGAAGACTGTTGAGACAACTCAGCCCATCAATCAAGGAATCAATCCATCAATACTAATGAAGTATTTTAAAGCACTTAAAAAGACTTTTGGGAGGTACAGTGGGAAAGAAAAGAGTAAATATAAGAAGCGATGTCTTCCAAAGAGAGCTTTACTATATACTACTGAGAGAAAATTAACATGTGAAACAAAGGCAGACATGCTAAAAGTACCTAAGTCTACTTAAAAATGAATGTTGCCCACTCGAAGTGCTCTAGATGAATGAAGTGATGAACTTGGCTAGGATACCTGTGTGTGAGGAGTTAGATGTGGTGCAGCTGGGTGTAAGGCCAGCTCTGATGCTGCTTTGTTTCTCAGAAACATTTTACGAAAAACATAGGACATTCCAGATGTATTAACCACCACCAAACATTTGTGCCCCATTTTTTATTGCCACATGCCTTTAGCCAGGATCTCAAGGACTTACTGGTAATAGTAAATATTTAATTTAGTCCAATGTATTTGAGAGATCATCCTGAAGAAAAGTCCAGGAATGGGACCTCAGGCAGTGAAATACTCCACGGAATCTGTTACATTTCACTCACAGGTTTAACACCTTCCAAGAGACAACCCGTCCCTTCCTCTTCCACGGGAAACCAACCACTGCATACCAATGAACATCACAGGTATAAACCATCTTGCTTTTTTTTTTTTTTAATTAGGGCACTAGTTTGCAAACCTTTCTATTCTCTCACCAAGGACAAATGACTGATGTATAAGATTTTGTTACAAAGTGGCTGACCTGGACCCCGGACTGTGGCTGAAGCCTCCTCAGGTGGGGCCAGCTTCTTAAAACGTTGTTAACAAAAGATAATCAGTCTGAAGTGCTTAGATCTGTCTGGCACCCAATAGTCCCTACGTGTTTGCTATTATTAACACATAGACCAAGTCTTCTACAGCGTGCTGTGTATTTCCTTGTAAATTCTGCAGTGTAGGTAAATGCTACAATTCCAGTGTGCAGAATCTTGCTTAAAACAAGTGGACATCCACAGGGACTGAGACCAATGTTGTACATTGGATTTGTAAGTGGCATTCACTGACACGGAACATGAGCTTGAATATTCAGTCCTCCTTTCAACAAACACTGGGGTGGCGCGTGCCATGTGCCAGTGTTACACGCGGAGATAGTAGAAACGGAAGAATAACGACCATTAATGTGTGCCAGGCACAGTGTGAGCCCTTTACAGAAGGCATTTCATCCTCCCAGTAATCCTGCGAGGTAGGCATCCCCATCTCCATTTCCCGCGAGGAAATCGAAGTTTTGATGATGTGACATGCCATTTAACTCGAGAGCCCCTCGCCCCGCAACGATACCCCGAACACCCCGCGTACACCCTTAAAGGGCTTACTCTGTTCTGATTAAGAACTCAGAGACCCCGAGCATCAAATAGGCACATCTCATCCTCTCTCTAAAGAACTCCGAACGTCGGGGGATCAGAGCACGCCCCCTTTGCTGCCAGGGACACCCCACTTTTTAACACCGTGGGGAGGAGGCTGGAAGAGAAGGAAAAGACACGGGATGTTTCATCGACGCCAGAGGTTCTCTCCGAAACATCCTTCTGTCGTCGCCACAGGAGAATGTTGGGCCCGAGACGCTTCCACTCTCCCAAACTGCACCCTGGGACGCCGGGTTTCTTCGCTGTCAAAGCTCTGTGCGACGGCCACACCGAAGATCCCAACCTTGGGCAGGGGCCAAACGGTCACTTCCCCGCCCCCCGGGCTCCGTATGCAAATCCGAGCACCAGGAAGTAGCTGGGACCTCTCGGCCGAGCCCAGCGACAGCCAGTTCCTCT